ATCTTATTAATTAATGCTTGGTTGTGACTTGAAAGGACAATTATAAAGAATTGTAATAATCTAAAATTTTCATTGGATATGAATTTACAGATTTTTGACAATTCAACACATGTTTATTGTCAGGATGCATTTTCTTTTTCAATTGCTTAGCAATTATTCCTTTGGTGAATTTGTTAAGTTTTGTCACTGAGGATATTTCTTTAAACGCTGGTCCAGCTATCGCAGGGTTATTAAATGCAACTTTTGGCAATGTAACAGAATTAATCATTTCTATTTTTGCTTTGCGTGCTGGAGAAATAAAAATAGTTCAGTCTTCGATGTTAGGATCGATTATTTCAAACATTTTATTAGTGTTAGGGACATGTTTTCTTGCAGGAGGCATTAAGTATAAGACACAAAAATTTAATCAAACTGCTGCTCAGACTAGTTGAGTTTGATGACCTTGGCTTGTATAAGCTTAATAATTCCTGCTACATTTAACATTTTTTTTAGCAATGATAATAAAGAAACTTTAATATTTTCTCATATAACTGCAATAATTTTGTTATTAGTTTACTTTTTTTTTTTTTTTAATTAAAAACGTATAAACACTTGTATGATGAGGAACAATTTTTGATCCAAGATGAGAAACAAGCTAAAGAGCCACAATTACCTCTTATATCTTCTATTATTTTTTTAATCATTATAACTGGTCTTATTTCTTTATCATCTGAATTTTTAGTTAATTCATTTGAAGGAGTGGTAAAAACTCTTGGTTTTACAGAAAATTTCATTGGATTAATAATTTTGCCAATCATTGGAAATGCTGCTAAGGTATTATTTATATTATTAAACCACTTTTATAATAGAGAATTTTTTGTAGCATGTCACCGCTGTTATTGCAGCAATAAATGATAAAATGAATATAGCAATTAGTATAGCTGTTGGTTCTTCTAAAGTAAGTTAAGTCTATTAAACTTTTAGATTTAATATTCTTTCTCAACTAGCAAGTCTCATTGTTAATTACACCAATTTTGGTAATATTGGGTTGGATTATAAATCAACAAATGAGTTTGTTTTTTAATTCATTTGAAACCATTATATTGTTTATTTCAGTTCTAATAACCAATTATATTATTCAGATGACAATGTTTTATCATATAAATTAGTTTATTTTTGGTTTTTTAATAATTTGTCATTTCATTTATTTTAGGATGGAGAATCAAACTGGTTAGAGGGAGTGATGTTGTTGGCAACTTATATATTAATTGGTTTGGCCTGTTATCTTTACAATTTTTAAATTTGATTACATTATTTTTTGACAAGCATCTAATTCAATTAAAAATAGAAATAACTTGTATATTTTTAAGAAGTATCTTACTTAGTTAATTAAAAGTTCATTTATAAAACTAAATAGGTTATTTAATTCGCATATAGGTTGGTTTATTAACTTAGGTTTATTTTATTTTTAATGTGTTTAGATTTGTTAACTTTGTTTATGAAAATGATTTACATATGGATAAAAGTTTAGAGTTTCATTATTAAGTTGGGAATCCGATTTTCAAATATTTCCAAATTTTCTGGTGATAATATTTATAACCAAGTATATCCTTAAAAAATTCTAATAAAAATATTATCAAAGATCTTTCCACCTTGTATTATATTAATAAATACATTAGAACAACAGAACTATTTTCAACAATAGCGATAATGATAATTACAATGTGATTTTTTCACACTCATATCTTTTTTTCAATTATCACTTTTGATTGGATCAACGAATTAGAGATAGTAAAGTAACTTTCTTAGTTTTAGTTAAATTTCCTCGATTATGCTAAGCAACGGTATGGTGTTATGCTTTCAAAAATGTAATAGTTTGTTAAATTTAGATTAATGAATAGTTTTCTTAGAACATTTATGCATTATGTTTCATCAATAAAACTGATTGAAATTTGCTATAATGTTCATAATTAAAATTATTAAATTGATTTTTTCAATTAAAAAAAACTAAAGAAACAAACTTTAATCTTCAATAAGAGATGCAAACTAGTATAATTTACAATTAATATAAATAAACTACTATTTACTCTCCTCGAATTATCAACAAATGGCTGATTTCAAAGAAATTTTTAGGCCTTTTACTACTCTTTTCTCTCGTGAACAATTACAAGCTGTCTTACTAGCATGGCTTCCTTCAAAACTCAAGATATATTTTCTGGAATAATTGCTGTGGATATATTTATGACCACTTTAATAGCTACTCTAATTACTACTTTGATTTATGCATCATGTTCCTTACTACAAATTTTTCAGTTCAGAAGTTCATTAACTGTGCAAATTGAATATTATATTAAAGATACTATATACTATGAGTTTGATTTTCTCTATCAATTAAATCTTTTGACGTTAAATTTCAAAAAAAAAAAATTTTAGGTATTTATTGTACTAAGGAAAAAAATCCCTTATATGAAGCTTTGTCGTGGATTATTTCACAGCAAACAAAGAAATTAGATAATGGTTCATTTATTGTTCAACCTGCTAAAAATAAAAAGTATGAAACATATGAAATACCAGATTTTATCATTTTGCCTGAAAAGAAACAACAAATTAGAATAGAGTACAGAGGTTGTAAATTCGACGTCGTGTATAAACTACAAAAAAATGACAAAAACAATAATCAAAATTATCCTAGACCTCAATCATACTATAATAAATCTGATCCAGTGCCTTCTATTTTTTTATCAATTATCAATGACGGCTCAAGTCTAAATAACAGACTTGATGTTAATGCACTTACTGAGTTCATTAGTGAAGTGACGAGTTTTTATTTTAAAACGAAAGAAAAAAATCACAAATATGCACGATATAAGCATAACGAAGGAAATTGGACTAGAGTTCAATTTTTATCAGACTTGAATGGTTTAGAAACTGTTGTTTTAGATAAACCAAAAAAAGAATTACTAAAAAAAGAATTAGACACTTTTATTAATGACAAAGAGTTTTACAAAAGAATTGGTTTGCCTTATCGACGTGGTTTTCTTTTATATAGTAAACCCAGAACTGGAAAAACTACATTGATAAATTCTATATCATCTTATTTGTCATGAGATCTCTATTATCTTAATCTCAAAGAAATTAAAAATGATAATGATATTAGCGCTGCTTTTAGTTCTGTTCTATCGAATCAAATAATTGTTTTTGAAGATGTTGATACACAATCAAATATTCTTTTTAAAAGAGGTGTTGGCCAACCAAATTCTTATAATTTTATATCTGAAGATTTAATAAAAGAAAATGACGATCTATCAAAATATAAGGACTTATTTTCATTTATTAGTTTATCTAATTTTCTTGGATGTTTGGATGGACAAATATTATCAGAATGCACAATAATTATCATGATGACTAATCATATTGAAAAACTTGATCCCACATAGTAATAGTGAAAAAAAGATTAAACGCGTTTCTACTGTATAAAACTTATTTCTCTATATTCTATTTTAGTATTCGTCCTGATAGGATGGATGTACATTTGGATCTTGGATATTGTTCGCATTACCAAATTAGCAAGATGTATATGAATATTACCAATAAAAAATTCCTGAATAATATCTTAGAAAAAATTCCCAAGAGGTTATTGCCCCCTTGTGATGTGATGATAACAATGATATCACATAGAAATGATAGTAAAATTATACCAATTAAGATTTTTGAATTGGTTGAAAAATATTCAACCAGTGATTAATTTTAATTACCAATGAATGTGTAATTTATTATAGTAAGTACGTACGTATATACTATCGATATATAACTGGTCAAATTTGCCAGATTCGGAATAAAGAAACTTTGAACTTGGTCAAACAATATGCAAATTTACCCAGTCATAAGTAACCTGTTCTCCACAACTCTGATGAATAGTCGCGAATAAAATTTTGTTTTTTACTGAAATATTATAAATTGTTTCTAAACAAAAATTATGATAATTTCTATATTTTATTTTTTAGGTTCTCATTATTATAATTGTAAAAAATCTGAATTAAATTCGGATTATTTAAAGAATTATTTAAAACACAAGCAGATGTTTAGCCTAAAAGCGAAGAAAGCAAAAAATATCTGCATTATTCTTACGTGTCATTATAATTTTTAAGCACATTTGGTAATAATTATCAATTAACATGAAATCTAAATTTTCTTTAATAAAACTTACGAATGATTCTTGTTTATTGTAATTATATTTTGTCACATTTTGACTTTATATAATAATAGTAAAATTCTTCTTTTAGAAAATTAATAATTGTATTTTCATTTTTAGTCTAAAAAAAGTATTAATTGTTGTAGAATTTGTTTCAAATTTTTCAAATTTTTTATTAACCATGTCTTCTATATTTGCATTACAAACAAATCTTTGTGTTAAAAAATGTTTGTTTCAGATAAGAAGATAATAGAAATAAAAAACTTTAATAGAATATATAGGTTTTACATACCAACTTTGTACAAAGTTGGTATGCAAAACCTGTAATAAAGAACTATAATATGAGTCTATTTTTTGTTTTATTAATCAAGGATTTAAAGATGAATAAAAAGGACTTTTACATCTGATTAAAGCTTAAGACAAAGGTCCATTCCTACAAGCAAAGTACAATAGAATATACAATAACCAAATTTAATAATAGAAAAAAAAATTATGAACAGTTATTATTGAAGGATGAGTAATAACATTGTGAAAGATAGATGAGTGCTTCACTAATATCTTTTTTGTATAAATTTAACATAATTTAACATTGGCAGAATTCTTTAGTACATTGGCATTTTCACCGCAAGTACAGTTTCTATGAATGAAAAATATGAAGGTTTATTAGTACGAAAGTTATTTATAATTGAATCAAAAACTCTTTGCAATAATCACCCTGAACCACAATCAGGGTCAGTTTGAATCATTTTGGCAATTAGTAGTATAAAAGATTTCCTTTTCTTTAGTGTTGTTTCTTAACCTTCAAGAAAGGCTTTTGGCAGGTGTATTTATATTAAAAAAATCAACCATCTGAAATATTTGATTTATTAATTAATAGCTTGCATCCCACATTTTATTGTATAGAAAAAATTAATTAAAAATTTCTAAAAAAAAATCAATTAACAATTTTTAAAATTTCTTTGAATCAATATTTAGTATTATGGAAATTGTTAATCAATAATTTGACAAATTTGAATAATTAATCTGAAGTATGGTCACAAGGCTGAAACTTAACAAACCTTATAAAAAAGTTAATTGATTTGATCTGCTGATTTTTTTTGATATGTGATATAAGCTAGTCAAATGAAGTTATTACTGTAGATATGTAATGATGATTTAAATGTAGTGATGATATTTATATAAGAACAAAGAAAAAAACTAAACTGAGTTTTTTGTTCTCTAGAGAAATTCCTACCGCATAAAAATTTTAATTAGTAATGCTTATCGATATATGAGATAATGAATTGCATAGTAACACTTATTAAGCTGATGAAAAACTCATTTTTGTTGGATTTATTAGGTTAAATTAATAAATTAAAAATCGAATAAATCAGGATTGTTTCAGGATTGGATTTTATCTGCTCACAAAACAACCAAAAAACTTGGAATTTCGTCTGATACTTTGAGACGTTGGTAAAACAAGGAAAGATATCTGCGAAGACGTCTCTATCTGGGACTCGTCTCTATGATATTTCTTCTTTTTTTCCAGAATTGATTACTCAAAATGATACCTCAACCACCTCCGTTACCGAAAAGAAAGGTTTCTTATACGCACGTGTCTCGAGTAACAAACAGAAAGAAGATCTTGAAAGGCAAAAGCAACTCCTCAGACATCAATTTCAAAAAAAAATGTTCTTAAAACCTTATTGGAACAATCAAGTAAAGGAATGGTCTCAGAAGTTGTGGTTATCCACAGAGACAGATTATGCAGATTCGCGTACAAACTCATCAAGTACATTTTCTCATTACATTATACGAAACTCATGGTTCTCTTCAACGAGTCAAATTCCGATGAACATGAATTATCCCAAGATATCCTCGCTATCAACACTGTGTTCATTTGTAGAATGCAAGGATGAAGAGCCACAAGATACAGGAAAAAAAGGAAAAAGAAAAAAGATGATAATTGTTCAAAAAACAAAGAAACAGAAACTCGAGACGAGCTTGAACAGAACATTGTCGATCAAGACATATCCGAATCATTTACAGAAAAAAAATTTAAAGAGATGGCTTGGATTGACAAGATTCGCTTATAATTCAGTCGTAAGATGAAATATGAAGAGATGTTTCTTCAACACTAACAAACGAAAAGAATGGATAAAACCTCAGATGTTAAAGGACAAGTTAGAACTTTATTTGGACATTGAGGATGAAAAATTTCGCAAAACGTGCGTGTGAGGTGAATGAAAATCTCGCCATTCATATTTGTATATTGAACCCTTCAAGCCAATTGTGCATGGAACTTTTGGTATCGACCAATCTAAATCTTGGTATATAATAGATCAAATAAAAGATGTTTTTGCAGAAATAATGGCTGGAAGTTGTGGGTTCAGACATCCAGATTATGTTGGGTCCATGCCGTATTAAAAATAATTTTATAAAAGAACTTCAATTTATTCGATTTAGATTGATTTGTTCACACTGCGTTTTCTTTCGAATAGAATTTATGGTCATCCTGTATTGTTTTTTTTTAAAGTAGACGTTAAATTCATGATTATTTTCTATGTAACTTGTGCACAGAAATAGGCATTACGAATATATTCATAATACAGTCGTCCTCCCATATAATCACCCAATTTATCTAGCACTTTTTGGTGATTATATAAAGGGGTGATTAAATAGAATTAATGAAATTACCTCTATATAATCACATAATATAGAATAATTAAAATAATGT